GAATTTTGTTTTTGTTTTCACACTTTATTCAAGAGTTTTTAGATATTACTATTAAAATTGGTAAGATGTGTAGTTTTGTTGCTTGAAGGAACAGCTGACAGTAGCTGAAATGGAGCGTGATGAAGCTGAAAGAAAATATTCGGAAATGGAAGAAAAAGTACAAAAAGCCATGTTAGAGCTTGAAGGTTGAAATTTATTTGATTTGACAGTCAAATAAATTTTGTTTATTGTAAGTACACTAAGGAAACAAAGTAATTTTTTAATTATCACTTCATAAATTTCAAGTTTTTTGTATTGTAGAAGATCGGCGTATCCTTCAACAGGGGAAACAGGAACTGGAAGAAAAAGAGCTACGCAATAACCAGTGGGGGGGGAAGGAGATGACGGAAAAAGAAGCGCATATTGTAAAGCAAAAAATGGATCAGGTTCGTTCGTTATAACTTTTCTTTATGGATTTTGATTATTTTTTAAGTCAAAATGATGAGTTTATATGAGTGGTGTGTGATTTGTATATTTCAAGCGTTTCTTATTTAATGTGAGAAATATTTTTGTCGATCTCATGGAAATGGTTATTCTGATAATACATATAGGTGGAGTACCAAGCACAGAAGGCGAAAAATGATTTGAATGAAAAAGTTGCGTTATTAATTGCTGAAAGCGAAAAATTAAAAAGTCAGGTAGAAGATCAGCAAGAACAAATTGAAGGATTGGAAGAAGAAAAGCAGATGCTAACTGACAAGCTGCAACATATTAAAAAAAAAGTTAGTTTGGTCATTTTTCGAGATAAATTTATGGTTGTCATTTCTTACAATAGAATCGAGTTTAATGTTTGGTGCAACTGAATTTTTTGGTGTTGAGTAGTCTCTTTATATTTACAAAATATTATTTCCTTTTGGTATGGGGCCGAATCTTTAAATCTAGTAACTAGTATTTCCAGGTATAAAAGAGGGGGATCTAAAGCTGAGAATAATAAAAGTTCGCATTTATATCTTCTGTGTATAGGCATTTGTTTACTACTACAAATGCTTCTCACTGATGAACTAATTTATCGTTCAGAAAGCTTTTTCCTCGAGTTTTTAGGTTTTTTTAACCTCAAAAGAACAAGGTGTAGAGCTTTCCAATTCTGAATCAACCACTTGTGTAGAAGAGAATGAAATGCCCAATGAATTCCCACCAAGGTTTCTGTCATATTAGTTTTAGTGCTATAAATTTTCGATACTTATTGGTAGCATGGTGTATTATTTGGTTTGACTTAGTTATGAATAGCAAAAAAATAAACCATTTAATATCTATTAATTTGGTAGCTGACAGAAAATTCAATATTCAAATATTTCATGGAACTTCAGGGCCGAAAATAAATTATCGCTGCTTGCTGAAATTGAAGAGCTAGAAACAAATATGTGTATGGTCATAAAACAGAAGAAAAATGTCATCCAAGAGCTAGAAAATATTCGCAGCAGTCGGGATAATTTGAAGATGAAAATAGCAGAAGTCGAGGAAAATTTTCATGAAATTTCTTCCAAGAAAAATTTAGAAATCGAAAAACTGAAAACGCAACTGATAGATCGGGTAATTAATTCATTTGTCAATCTTAAATCTGTATTTATATTTCGAAATCCATAACTTTTGTAGAATATGAAACTTAGAAATTGGCTCCTGAATAATAATCTACTAGGTTTTTGAATAATTCCTTGCCATGGATTTGGCGAGTTCCTTTTTGACATTTGATTTTTACTATACTATTGGGCAACAATTGAAATTGCAAACAAACAATATTTCTGATAGGTCACAGTGATCTCTCAATTGGTTTTTAACAGTAATTTGCTTTTCAGTGATGATATTTCCTCCGAAAATGTAATTCTTCTCTCTCACAGAAAAATTCTTTAATAATTTGTTGAAGTTCCAAAGAAATTTTTCCATTTCTTTGTTAATCATGACAATACGTGTCCTCAGCATTCGCTACTGAAGAATATTATGATGTAGCAAATAGAGTGCAAATTGGCAGGGGCTAAAAATTTCGTGGCATTCTTAAGGTGTCAGGATTATTTTTATATTTTCTTATAATAGTTCTTAATAATTTATTTGGACTATTGTAAAAGTGTGTGATCTTCTATTTCATCCGTTCCGCCATTTGATTTTATTACAGTACTATTCTTCATTTGAATTTTTCAAAAATTATTTTGAGTTCCAGGAAGGTGTGGTTGATGAGCTTCAGAAAAAGATAAATGAACGAAGATCAAATGATGATGCTGAGTTACATTCATTGAAAATGACTTTGAATGAGGAACGGAAGAGACAAGAAGTTCTCGAAAGCGAGCTTATCGAAATGACGAAAAAATTAGATAAACTTACTACTGAGCTTAAGCAAAGTAAAGAAAACAATGAATGTCTTCAGAATGAACTTGGAAGCATTAAAAAAAAGAGGGAGGAAGAACAAAAAATCAGGTCATTCTTATGAGGTTTTGTCAACATATTAATAATCATAATTTTAAAATGTAGTTGCTAGTAATCGTATATAATCATTGCATCTATGAAATAGTGGTTTAATTGAATTTGAAAGGAAAGTTTATAACATTTATTATTGGATATTAAAAAGATTTTGTTCTCTCAAAGATTAATTTAACTAGAGGTGTGTTTTGTTAATATTCGTTTCCAAATTTATTTATATTTGAGCAAAACTTCGTTTCTGTGTCTTAATTTTGTAGTTTACTCGACATTTGAAGTTGCAGCAAAATTTTTTAGGTGTATTGAGGTGTTAGTTTAACCAAGGTTTCCAAAAGTAATGTAAATCTGGAATATATCTATTGTAATTATATAAATTATGATGCTTATTAATGTGGTTTGATCTTGCTTGTTATATAAATGCATTTCTAGAGACCAGTACGCAACTTTACTGAAAAATGCAAATGATAGTTTCGAAGCAGCACAGAAAGAACTTGCTAATTTGGATCTTATACGAACTGAAAAAGATCGCTTAGTCGCTGAGCTTTCCTCTACAAAAAATGATTGTGAAAAAATTGTGCTGCAGCTTAAACATGTAACGGTTCTTACATTTATGCAGTTCAGAATCATTACTTTAGTTCATTTGTCATGCACAGACTATATTTATAGCGTTCATGGAAAATGTGATTCATTAACTCTTTTCTATTCATCAAATTTTTAGTCTGGTACTGGTTATTTTTGTCCTCCACTAAAATGGCTCACTCTACATTGTAGGATAATGAACTCCGAATTGAGGAAATGAACAAGAAAGCAGAACAGAAGATGTTAAAAGTTAAAAAACAATATGAAGCCGATGGAAATGCAGCAAAGGCAGAGCTTCTTTTAGAGGTTGTTACTGTTAACTATTTGTATATGCGTGCACGGATTTCGTGAACACATCCTAAAATTTTCCATTGACAGATACAGATGATAAAGTATTTTATTGTGAATGGATTTTATCTCCATAATCAGGCTTATTGTCCGATTCATGATTCCATGAAGATATAAATAGTGCTTATTGCTTAATATCTTTTTATGTGTATTCGCTGCAGATTGATGAAATGCGATCTCAGTTAGCTGAAAGAGATCTAATGATAGAAGAACAGAAGCTGAATGTTAATGCCCTAGAAAAAAAACTTCTTGACGAAGAGCAAAATACTAAAATCATAAATGAGTTGCAAGCATCAATTCGAGCAGTATCTGCTGAAAAAGACCTGAAATTGATTGTTAGTGGACTGTTTTTTCAACTAGATACTTTTTTTTTCACTGTATGAACCCAAAAATTGCATCATTTTTCGGAAAATTTTTTCAGAAAACTGATTTTCAAATTTATGATTTCAACTCCATAAATATCTTATTAGTTTATTTGTTGAAATTTCCAGTTTCATTATATATTAATTTGATTATTATTATATATAACCATTCGGTCTTACCTTATTGGTTTAATTGCTATGTGTCTAGGAGTGTTCTGAAATGAATAATGAACTGAATTTACTTCGAACATCATTAGATGAAATGAGAAATCAGTTGACATGTCAGAAGAATCAGATTGATTCTATGCAACAAAAACTAGATAGTTCTGCAGCTGAAAATATTCATTTAAAAGGTTTGTTTGAAGTTTAGCGCAAAAATATTTCTCAGATTATAGGATACAAGTTTTTCATTTAGCAATTTTAGAAAAAACTTAGTTATTTTTATCCAATAATTTACAAAAAAGTTTATCTTTAGAAAGCGTTGCGGTAATAGATCAACTAGAACTGGAGCGTAAAACTCTGTTAAACAAAGAGGAAGAATTCAAGCAAGAAATTGAAAAATTGCAACTAGAAAATGCAAATTTGCAGAAAACTGCAAGTAAGAAGGCATTAAAATTTTCGAGTAAAGTGATCTGCAAAAATATAAGAAATAAAAGGACAAATATTTATATATAAACATCAAGAAGGTGCAGCAGGTCGGAAGTAAATCTTTTCTGCCTACTTGATTCCCGGCGTTGAATCGTATTCCGGCACTTTCATTGTACTCGCTGAACACGCTGTTTCGCTGGTTGCAGTACACTGTTTAAGTGTTTTCCTATATTCTTCACGGAGCTGTTTTCAACAACATTGTATATTTTTCATTTGTTTTCATTTATGATTCGAGACTTGGTTTTTTACTGTTTATTCTCAATTTCTGCTTTGTGATGCAATTCGACTAGTTTGCTGCTCAACTAGTTGAATATTCAAAGCCTAAGCCTAAGCCTAAGCCTATATATGAATATATATATATATATATATATATATATATA